ACCGGACTTCACACTAAAGTGTTAATGGTTTAGCAGCTTACCCTTCCAGCGGGTGAGGCTAGAGTTCCAAACGTAAGAAAGGCTGTAGACTGAGCTAGTAAACACGGGGATTTAGGGTATTTGGCACCTCCCAGGAAGGAACAGGTTTACTTCGCAAATCCAAAGACTGTGGGGGGGGGGGCTGAGCTCCAGGCTCCTGCTTCTGAGACTCGGGAGACCCAGCAGGGTGAGGTCTCCAGCCGCCTGCGGTGCCCGCTGCCACCGCTCATTCACCCTTGCCAGCCCGGTGCCTATTCCCGAAACACGCCCACGATGCACTCTAACCCAGAGGAGTACCAGCCCGACGGCTGCTCAGAGTCACTAGTTCCAGATGAGGAAAAAACTGAGCCGATCTTTGGCCATGATATTAATTAGCCTGGAGGTTTTCTCCCCGGCTCAGCCAAAGGCAGCTTCGCTACCGCCTTCCAAGCAGCGTTGCAATTGACGCGTGCGGTCACCAGGGAGCGCGCTGCGCCTGCGAGGGTAGCCAGGAAGCGGCGCTCGCCAGGCCCCCTTAGCCAGCCAGAGCCAGGGCTGGCGCTCCATCGCAGCCACAGCGGGAGAACAGAGAGGAGTTGCCCCCGATAAAGCGTCCATAGTGACCCGGAGCTGTCGTGTGGGCCGACCCCACCTCTCCGTCTCCATCTGGGAAAGAAAAGCGATTCTGTCTTTAGAAAATAAAAGACCTCATGACTTAAAAAAAAAAAAAAAAGGTTTTATAAGGGGCTGGAGAGATGGCCCGGTGGTTAAGGGCACTGGCTGCTCTTCCAGAGGGACCTGGATTCAAGTCCCAGCACCCACACGGCAGCTCACGCCTGTCTGTAACTACAAGTCTGAAACCCTCACACAAACGCACATGCCCGAAAAACACCAATGCAAATAAAATAAAAAACAAGTTGTTTTTTAAAAGGCTTTGCAAAACTGCATTTGTTTTTCTGCTTATTTATTAGTGTGTGTGCGTGCGCACATGTGTGTGTGTGCACACGCATGCTTGAGTGTGCATACCTGTGCATAGTGGTCATAGGAGAACTTGCAGGAATCAGTTCCCTTGATTGTATGGATTCTGGGGACCAAACTGAGGCTTGTCATAGTGTGGTGGCAAAACACTTTCCCCCACTTTTCAGTTAAGTGTGCCCCTGCCTCCTCTCCAGTCCTTCTTGTCCCCTCGCAGGAGGAAACCTTCCCTCTTGTGACATCCCTAGGAAAGAACGCAGACTCTGAAGAAACCGGCATCCAGTTTTCATTTGTTATCACCTGGCTACGAGCCTGGAACGGTGGTTCTCAACCTGTGGGTCACGGTTGGGGGTGGTCAAACAACCAACCCATTTTTGCAGGGGTCACGTAAGACCATCAGGAAAACACCGATATTTACATTGTGATCATAACAGTAGCAAATTTACTGTTACAAAGTAGCAAGTTCCACAACACGCAGAACTGTGTTAAAGATCACAGTGTTAGGGAGCTTGAGGACCACTGGCCTGCAGGAACCTGGTCAGGGTGGAGCTCTGGCAGGCTGCTAAAGACCAAAGATGCTGGGGCTCGGGCTTTGCCCTCCCTGCTGGGACCTACAGGCTAGCTCGTGACCTCTTCTCTCCTCCCCTGTCCTGCTCTGATCTTCCAGGCCCTTCCAAACACAGCCGGTTTTTAATTCCCTTTATTCAAGGTGGTTTTTCCCATGATGTTGCCACAAATGCTTATTAGCGAATGCTGAACTCACAGGGACGTCGAGCTCATGGGGAATAGACAAATCAGGAACCAGTCACCACATGTTTTTTTTTTTTACGAGACAGGGTTTCTCTGTATTGTTTTGGAGGCTATCGGTCCAGCCCAGCCTCAAACTCACAGAGATCCGCCTGCCTCTGTCTCCCGAGTGCTGGGATTAAAGGCGTGCGCCACCACCACCCGGCCGGTCACCACATTTTTACCATCTTATCAATACACAGCCTTTGCTGTCTGATTACTTCGTCTGTAATCCCAGACTGAGTCAGGAGAGTTGCTGTGAGTTCGTGGTCAGCACAGGTCATAGCAAGAGAGACAAATGGATAGCACAATCTTTCTAGTTAAAGACATGTCACCGGGCTGGAGAGATGGCTCAGGGGTTAAGAACACTGCCTGTTCTTCCAGAGGTCCTGAGTTCAATTCCCAGTAACCACATGATTGCTCACAACCATCTGTTATGAGATCTGGTGCCCTCTTCTGGCATTCAGACATACATGCAGGCAGAATGCTGTATATGTAATAAATAAAATCCTTTAAAAAAAAGACATGTCACCGGGCTGAGTATTAACAGCGAATACACTTTTCTGACTTGTGTATTAGAGCCTGTGTGCCAAGTCCCTGTGTTTGGAGCATGGTCCAGCTCTTTATAGCCCTTAGCTATGCAACAATGAAAACAACCAATCCGGCAGCAGAAATAACAAAACATGTTTTAGGAAAACAATAGGGGTGGGCGGGCACCAAGGAGTCTGAGAAGCTGGGAGGCTGAGAAACTTGGAGTTGAAGGAGCAAGGGGCCTGTGTAAGCAGGGATGGAGGGGACCCCCTTTTTTCTTCCTCAAAAGAGGAAGAAGGACATTTGATCACAGTTTATGTGACTCGGGAGCCTTCGGGCCACTGGACTCCTGGCTTCTAATGCTAATACTTCAAGAAACAGGACAGCCACCCAGAAAAATATGGACACAAGAAGCCCAGAGTTGGGGTGATGAAGCCCAGCCTGTCTGTTGGGGGGTCTTCTTGGCTTCTCCTGCTGCATTTCTTTTGCTTCCAAGGGTGGGCCAGGACCCTTCTGCAGCCGAGCTCTTCATTTCTTTATGGCCGGTTGGTTCACAGAGAAATGGAAAAAAATGCTAATGTACTTTCCTGTTTGTTTTGTTTTAGAGCTGGCTTTGGGGGAGGGTGTTCTGGCTTCTCTGGCCCACACAGGGAAAGCTGAGCTCCGCTCTGTTCAGCTTGACTCAGGGGAGGGTGGGGGTGAGAGTCAGAAGGACCGAGGGAAAGCTACTTCGGAGGTCCATGGTTTGTACTACTGTTTACCGAGCCCTAGCCGCCTCAACTGAAAATGGGTATATCGAAAGACTCAGAGAGTCCACCTACTTAATGTAAGTCTGAAAATGGCTGCCGAAGACCTTGGGGTTGCAACTAGGCAAGAAGGCATCTGTAGCTCCATAGCTTACGAGCAACCAGGGCCAAGGACACAGATGTGTCTGGTGTCTGCATTTCCTCCTCTGTCTTCTGTCACATCAGCTCTTGGCAAGCCAGTGCAAAAACACTTATCGAAATCTGGGACTGCTCTGTAAGCCAGCAAATCTCAAACAAGGGCTGTGGGATCCTACCCAGAAGGAAACATGAGAGCCACCTTGGAATCGACTGGCAGGATGGCTGTGTGGATAGAGGCACTTTAGGCCAAGCCTGAAGATGAGAGGCGTATGGTTGAGGGAGAGACCCGACTCCTGGGAACTGTCATCCCACCACACACAATATAAATAGATAGATACATGGACGGATGGATGATAGATAAATGATAGTTAGATGATAGATAGACACATGATATATAGATAGATGATAAATGATAGGTATAAGATAGACAGACAGACAGACAGACAGACAGACAGACAGACAGATAGATGATAGATGATAGATGACCGGGCGGTGGTGGCGCATGTCTTTAATCCCAGCACTCGGGAGGCAGAGACAGGCGGATCTCTGTGAGTTCGAGGCCAGCCTGGTCTACAAGAGCGAGTTCCAGGACAGCCTCCAAAGCCACAGAAAAACCCTGTCTCGAAAAACCAAAAAAGGCAATCGGTGACAAATACAGCAAGGAATTGGCTGCTAGTGCAGAGGTCACCAGTTGCCTGGGTTTGGCGTCACTTTCTGGAGGCCAAGAGAGGGTTTGAGGACGTTTTTTGGTGGAAGGGGCCTACTTTCATCCGACTTCTGTGAAGAAGACCTATTTGATGAGCCAAAGAGCAGAAGCGGAGGTTTGAGGTGTTTTCCATGACTTTGTTCTCCTGGAGGTGGGCTTCATTCAATGAGGGTCGCCGGGTCACAGGCGCTTCATTTCATTCTCTTTTCCGTGTAATCTGACGGCAGCGGGGTGGACAACTTCAAGTCAATATCGACTTCTGCTTTCCATGACCGAAAACTCAGCACACAGAGAACCGAAGGGAACCTTCAGGAAAAAGCCGAGGCGGAAGACGGCCCGTTCCAGTCCTTGGTGGCTAGTGGTGAAAAAGTCACTGTGGGGCTTGAGGAGCTGGGACTGCAGGCTCGCGTTTTAACAGGCACGGAAACACCAGCAAATGCTGCTGAGGATTAGCAGAAACGGGTTTTAAAGACTTTAACTGAAAGCTTTCGGTGTAACGGCACCTGACGAATTTCCAAACGGCTTGTTAAGAGCCCCTGCTTGTCACAGAATTTTGAGTTTGATGTTGGGAGCACACAACAGGACCATTGTAACTGTTTTTCTTTAAAATCGTTATAATCTCTGTATGTGCTCTCTCTAACCAAAGGTGAGCCGCCTCGTGACTCTTGACTTGTGACTAAGACAGACAAGACTGACTTTTAACTCCAACACGGGTTTGTTTCCCGGAGTGTTGAGAAACTGGGTAGTGTCGGCTTGCTGTGAAAAAAACAAAAACAAAAAACAAAAAACTGCCAGGATGAACCTGCAACAGAAATGTTCCCATGCTTCTCAGTATTTAGTAACGAAAGGCAAGCTCGTCGGTGGTAACACAGTTCTGAGTTAGTAAGCAAAGGGTGTTTTCTAGTCTAGCTGTTCGGACATCTCTTCAGTCTGTGGTGCTAAACTCAGGTTTAAAAACGCTGTAGCTAGGTGGTGGTGGCACACGCCTTTAGTCCCAGCACTCGGGAGGCAGAGGCAGATGGATCTCAGTTAGTTTGAGGCCAGCCTGGTCTACAGAGTGAGTTCTAACTGAGGCTCCAAAGCTACAGAGAAACTGTGTCTCAAAAACAAAACAAAACAAAACAAAACAAAATAGATAGATGGATAGGCAGATATAAAAAAGCTGTAAATTGGGTCTTCATCATTCTCTATAACTCTCCATTTTTTTCTTTTCCATTTCCACACTACCCATGCCTCAGCCCTCAGTCTAGATGACGTTCATGATGCCGTCACTGCCCTGTTATTTGTGGTGTTGTTTTTTGTTCCCTTTGTTTCCATAGCAGAATCACTGAGACTAGACCATTTAAAAAGAGGAGGTGTTTACTCAGCTCACAGTTCCCGAGGCAGGGTGGCTCAGGGCCACGTGGCTATGTCCATCCAGGTCCCTCGCGCGTTGTGGCTTAACACAGGTGACTTAGTCGTGTGGGGCGGGTGTGAGTGTGCGGAGGAGGAGATGAGGGAGGGAGGCAAGGTGTGAACCCGCTTTAGGGCATCCCACCTCAGAGAAACAATCAAGTCTCCAGGGGAAGAAAGGAGTTCTCTCAAAGGCTCCGCTTCCCAACTGTGTCACCCTGGCCCTGGCCGCCAAGCGTCTTCATGCATGCCGGTGGGCGGGGACAAACACATCAAGCCTTTCCTGTCAATTTAGTCGTCGGTTAGACACCGCTGTGCCTACCAGCACCAGCCCATCATGGGTGAGGTCCGGGGTTTTAACCTCTTCCAGCAGTGGCCAGACATCCTCCTGCCGGAACATCACTGTTACCTAGGAGCGACAAGGGTTGACAGAGAATCTTGCAGGTGAGATGGGAGGGAGGGAGCTTCACTCTATGAGCCTGTGACTGCCACAGCAGCCTCCTGTCCCTCTTCTCCTCCAGGGGAGCTGGGTTGGGGAGCTTTTGCGTAGGCTTTGATATCCTCTGCTGCACCCCACTGCACCACAGGGGAAGTTCGAGATGACAAGTCTCAGGCTGTGATCCCTACCCTATGAGGAAATCCTTCCTGAGGCTTTTACCTCCAAAATTTGTCCCAGGGGCAGAGTCCCAAGTCAAGTTTGCACACATTGCTCTTCCGAGGTGAGCAGTGGCTGCTATTTTACTACCAGTGACAACAACTGGCATTGCTGAACTCCTACCGAGTACCAGACTCTAGACTGGATGCTTGCTACGTTGTTATCGCTCAGTTGATTGTTACGAGAAAACATGAAACAGACATTAAGATTGTCTACGCTTTACAGGTGGGGTTCAAAAGAACCTGGAGAATTTGCTGGCGCGGGTAGCTTAGTAGGACTGGACTTTACGCCAGAGCCCAGGATGACTCTCTTGGCTGCTGCTCGTCCTTAGCAATGGTCCTAGCCATTGCCTTGGGAGCCCTTCCTCCCCAGGAGAGTCCTGAAACTCCCCCTGTCCCTCTTGCTTGGCTAGTGTGTCCGATGTGGATCTAGTCTGGACTTGAACCACGATAGACCTGTGTGTCCTGCCGTACTCACCAGCCAGTGAATTATTCCATCAGCCTGAGTGAAGACAAAAGCCAGACTCAAAGCCCAAATGGCCCAGAGCCCTGCCGAGGTGATGTTAGAGCGCACTCATGGCCTGGCTCGACAGTTTAGTAAGACCTTGTTCAGAACAGGTTTGGGAGCACAGCTCAGGGAAGGCATGTACAAGGCACCAGGATCAATCCCACACCACAAATAAATAATAAAACAGTAAATTAAAAAAGTGCTGCCATTGCCAAAGACCACCCAGCGGGGCTGGCACTATGGCTCAGCAGGTAAAGGCACTTGCTGCACAAGCCCCAAGTCCTGAGTTCAAGTCCTCGACTCCTGAAGGTTGTCCCCTGACCTCCACATACACACATCGCACTCTCACAATTCTTTAAAGGCCACCAAGTCTACCGGCCCATAAAAGAGCCAAAGGAGACCCTGGCCAGGGGCCTATGGGAGTGTATGAGAGCCTTCTCCAGAGGAACCGCTCTGCAGAGAGAGGTCTCAGGCTTTGACAGCTAAAGGGAGTAAGCCGAACCCACTCCATGCCCATCCAGATGGACAGAAATAGGGAGCAGAAGAATGGGGGGAGGAAGGAGAGGGAGAGAGGGAGAGAGGAGGAAGGCAGATTCCTTCCTGGTCTCAAACAAGATATCTTACATCCCTGATGAACGCCTGGAGAGCCACTGCCTCCGGAAGGCAAGCTCTGTGCTGAAAATGTCACCCTTGGCATTTAGTGCCAACTTCACCCAAAGGTCGCCTGCTGTCAGCCCGAGCCCAGATGCAGAATGGGGTGGGAGGGGTTCTGGTAGGCTGATTTCATTCTGGTTTAGCTGGTTTCTGTTTAAGTAAGTAAAGAAGTGTGGCAGCGTTTCCGCTGGCATCTAAACGGTAGTGGATTGCACCCTGTCATCCTGAAGGGACAGTGACCGCAAACTGTAAAATAAGTGGGATAGTACTGAACTCCCCAAGAAACTGGAGTCGTGAGATGCACAGGGATTGGGGACAAGGCTCAGGCATTTGGCAGGGCCTGGGGATCGTTGGCTTCAAAGGGGAACAGTCTGTTGGCAAAGCTTTGAGAACCCTTGCTGTCCGTTGTGGCACCAACCTACGGTGGTAAGGATCCTGGACCAAGCAAGAGTGAGACACCCAAGCCTGTGGCCCCAGAGCTCCACCTCAGTTGCAAACAACAGGAAATGCAAGGCGAAAGCAGTGTAAGGCAGGAAGGAGCTGCCACAGGACAGGAGGACAGGAATGAGGACGGCTCTGGAGATGCAGGGAGCTGGAGCTAAGCCGACCCTCCTGCCCTTGGAACTTGCTTCGCCAATGGGCTTGGTCTTTAGCAGGCCAGGCTGCCCGGAACAATCTGCCTTTAGCTGGGTGATTTACAAGCAACTGTTTATTGCTCCAGGTTTTGAAGGCTGGAAGTTCAAGATCAAGGTGCCAGCAGAGTTGGTGTCCACTGAAGTTCTGGTTCTCATATATGCTCCGCGTGTCTGCACTCAGTGGACGGGGAGAACACTTTCTCCTCTCTCAGACGAGCACTGACTCACATGCACGAGGGCCCAGTACCTCTGAAGGCCCATCGCTTATTACTACCATACTGGAGATTAAGATCCAGCATTTTGAGTTTAGAGACCATAAGCACTCGGGCCATAGCAAGGTCCTTGTGTAACATGATTTGAACCCTGATTTCCACAAAAGGATCCAATCAGGGATCAAATGTTTAGAGAGATCACTTATGCACACAGATTCATACAATGAATGAACAAGTCAGGAAGAAAATGAAAAAAGGTGATACAGCCATCCCCAAGGAATGGAGAGAGTGATGCTGAGAGAGAGAGAGACCCACAGAGAAGTCTGGAAAAAAGAAAAGAAAAGATCAAGCGTCTTCAGAATTCAGAAAAGGTCTAGGCTAGTCCTCTGCACTGTTTTTGCAGAGAAGGAATAGGATAGGAATTTTCTGGATTTTTGTCCAGGTCAGATCCAATTCAAGATTCAAAGACAGAACAACACTGTCGCTTGAGTTCAGTTTCAGCTCTCAGTAAGGTATCAGTTTCCTGCTTTGGTTCAGCCCCACTCCCTGCTGAGGGCTGAGAATACCATTAAGGAGAAAAGGGATACCAGGGCCTGTATTTAAAAAGAATGCAACAAAATATCTCATTTTGTTAAAGAACTAGGGGAATCCACCAACCCAGCGTCCTCAGTCCCGGGACAGGAGCTTTGACAAGCTCGCTCTCCACGCAAGGGGACTCCGTGTCTGTGGCTTGGCCAGCCTTGAGGCAAGCTTCAGGTTGCAAAGGGGGACTGACACTTCATGACACGGGTGAACTTACTCCTCCAGCAGAGAAAGGCTGCTTTCTGGCCCTCATCCCCTCATCCACTCCCGCAGACCCTGACACAGAAAGCAGCAATGGGGGGGGGGGTTGAGGATAAGATGCAACCATGAGAAGTCACCGTCTCCGTCCTCCTGTCCTACATGTTAGCGTGTCCACTGCCACGCTACTGAGTGTGAGCTTGGGACTCGTTTGCACCACCCTCCCCTAGAGCAGGGATTTTCACGTTTGGGACCCTTTCACGCAATTCATGTTGTGGTGCCCCCCCCAGCCACAAAATTACTTTGTTGCTACTTCATAACCTAAATTTGCCACCTTTATGAATTTTAACGTGAATATTCGCATCTCCCAGTGCCCCAGTGCCCTTAGACGACCCCTGGGAAAGGGTCATTGGACCACCCCAAAGGCGTCATGACCCACACGTCGCTCTAGCGACACCCGTGTCTTCCGGCTCATCCCTGGCCACCCACCCCACAGAAACACGTTTTTTTGTTTGTTTGTTTTTTAACAGCAACTCAAGATGCAAGCTGAAAACAGTGTTTAAGGGAAAAAGGAAAGAATGTTACATGACGTGCTACATTCTCTCTGGAAATCTATGTTGGAACTGGGGACAGAGCTCAGCTGGTAGAACGCTGTCCCACCAATACACGCTGAAGCCGGGAGTTCAATCCCCAGCGTTGTACAGACTGAGTGTGGTGACATATGTCTATAATCCCAGAGCTCTGGAGGTAGAGGTAGGAGGGTCAGAAGTTCAAGTTCATTCTTTGCTACACATTGAGCCTGAGCCTGGGCAGCAATACATTAGACCCTGTCTCAAAACAAGACAATGACACAAAAATCCCAAACAACAAAGGAAGTCTTTTTTTGATTATTGAGCAAATTGACATTCAAATAATAACGTTTATCCCACTTAGCAGCTAGAATATCTCTCAGCTATCCATTGTTTTATCTTTCAACCATAAATAAATATATATATGTATATATATTCATCTTTATTGCTTATGTTTCTGAGAAGAGTTGTGTCTAATATTTTGGGGATTTTGTGGCTTTCTGATGCTTTTTAATCTTTCTTATTGATTTGGTGATTTTTAATATTTTTCTCATTTTTTGCTTCCTGGCATTTTCGATCTGCACATTGATCTAATTTAACCATGAGAGTTGATCTCTCTCTCTCTCTCTCCCTCTCTCTCTCTCTGCCTTTATCCTGCTTTTCTTGCACCTATTTTTATCAGCTCATGGTATCTTTTCCTCTAGGTTCATAAGAATTAAAGCCTTAATTTTGGCAGTCCTACATGCCTGGATAAGAAATTGGGGTTCGTCTGATGAAGAACGGTGGGGAACCATGAAGTTCTGATTGATAGTTTACCACCTGGCCAGCGACAGGAGTAATTGCCAGGGCCAATTACTTCTCTGTTCTACTTCCCTGAATTATATATTTTTTCCTTTTTTCTTTTTGTCTGTGTCCTCCTGTTCTAGACGGTGTGTTTAATGACTATTGTAGAGAGACGGTCACAGAAATCTTTCTTTTTCTCTTAATTGGAAATCCATCTATTTTGGGTAACCAGTGTTTCTTCTTATGCTTGCTGCATGCCATTGTGTTTTTTGCAGAGTGGCTTGCCAAGAAGGGGCGTGGAGCAATTCAAACACCAACTGCACTGGGAAAGATTTGTCCCCAAGGCCTCCCCCAGCCTCACTTTGCAGTGCACAAGGAGAGCCAGAGTGTCTGCTGAAGTCTCCAGGCCTGTCAGGCAGCCTGCTCTGTTTTTAAACTATACATCAGTGCCCTGCTCCTTGATGTCCTGAAAACAGCATTGATCTATGTAGAGGACCACCCCCTAAGTCCCATCCAATGTACTGGAAGTTGAAGACAGGGTGATGAGTTCAAACCCTTAAATTTTTTTTTAAAAGGTAGGAAACAAATTTGCTGGCCCTGAAAACAAGCCGCCGTTGCCCTCGGGCAGCAGGGGATATCCAGGTATGCAGAGAAGCCGTGACCCCAGATGTGACCTGGGACTTCTCACTCTGAACTTGGGGTCCCAGCTCTCGAGACAACGGGTAATACCTGCTCTGGCTGAGAGTCTGTTCAGTCTATGCTCATTTCCCATGATAAGAAGGTTTATCTGGGGGCTGGAGAGATGGCTCAGAGGTTAAGAGCGCTGACTGCTCTTCCAGAGGACCTGAGTTCAATTCCCAGCGACCACGTGGTAGCTCACGACCATCTACAATTCAATCTGATGCCCTCTTCTGGCATGTAGGCAGAACACTGTATATGTAATAAATAAATAAATAAGTCTTTTTAAAAAAAAAGATTTATCTGTGGCCACATTGAATCGGCCAAAAACTACATTTCCCAGTGTCTCTTGCAGCCAAGTGGTCACGTGACCAGGGTCCACCCAGAAGTTTGTAAACAGAAATGTTGTTTGCGGCTGTCTGGTCTTCAAACACTCGGATACACACTCGGGAACGTTCCTGCTCCCAGAGGTGGAAGCCAGGTGGAGAAGAACGACCCCAGGCCACCCCCCACCCCTCCCCACTCACCTCGTCTCCTGCTGTAGAGGCACGAAGGCACTCCAGGGGACAGCTGTATTTTGGTAGACTGGGGATCAGCCATCAAAGCTTGAAACTCCCTCCCAAGTGTGGGGACAGGACACACCCATTGTGTTAATGGAGGCCAGGCCCACTCCCCACTCAGGAAGCTCAGCTTGTTCATTTAACTGCCCATGAGAGAAGAGCAAAGCTTAGCTAGTCCCTCTGACACAGCCTGGAGTCCTGGAGAGAAAGGAGAAGGTAAAAAATCAATTGCAGGGGACCGTGGATGTTAATTGTTTAACAGGTAAATATACACTGGAACAGAGCACCACCAAGAAAGGGTGGTAAATGAACTGTATGTTGCCCTAACCAACCTTCAAACACAATAACACACAGGGAGGAAATCTGAACTACAACCACAAGGGAGAAGTCTAGTATCAAGCTAACTAGATCAACTGCAAAACGTCCCATAATTCCAGTGGGGCTCCTGCTTCTCTACAGAACGCATTAAACAACACCTTCTCAACTTTATTTATAGCAAGAACACCTAAATGTTGGTTCGGGCTTAAAGCGTGGAGTCCCCCGGGGCTGGTATGCTCGACCAAAGCTCCCAGGAGGATTTACATCCACGGGCACTCGTTGAGAAGTGTAAAGTAAAGGGGACCAAAACTCCACAAGCCAGTAAAACAAATGGAATTTTAACAAATGAGTGGAAGGGGGGGGGGCGCAGACTATTCTAGAACAGCTGTTCTTCGTTCATCGAGAAGCTCTGAAACAAAAAGGCCCAGGATGAGAAAGACCGAGGGATTAGGAGTCTATGTGTAGTCTGTGGAAGAATGGGGGGGGGGGTGTCGTGTTCCCAGTAGACAGTATCAGGAGACAAGTGTGCCTTGTGGCACGAGGTGTTCCCAACAAGACACCCGCCATAGGCAAAATCCACGAGAGGGGCAGAGTACTTCAAAGTAAGCTCCCTCCCTCCCTCCCCCACCATATTCTGCAGACTTTCCAATACACCAGAAGCCAGACGCCAGTAAGAAGTTATCGCCTCCCCACAATTCGGCTGGCTTCTGGTGGTCTCTGAAGCCCGAAAGTTGTTAAAACATACAAAAAGAAAAAAAAAATCAACTAATGGTTATTCATAATTTTAAAGCATGATGGTGTATGGTCGCTCATTCCCGCGTTGGGGAGGCTGTGAATTCTCGGTAAATACTTGCTGAACTAAGGGCAGTTTCAACTTCCTTGACGACCTCCCCCCCACCTCCCCCTGCCACCCTCCACAACCTAACATTTCCTTTCTAACTTATTATTAATTATCAAAGTTTGGCCTTAGCTGAGGCTTGTCCCCCAACCAACTCTTATAACTTAGATTAAACCGGTTTCTATTAATCTACACCCTGCCTTGTGGCTCTTACCTCTCCATTCCGTTCATTTAACTCCCTTTGTGTCCCGCTGGTGTCTCTAACCCTCGGTTCCTCTCTCTCCACCCGGAAGTCCCGCCCATTCTCTCCCGCATAGCTATTGGCCATTCAAATCTTTATTAAACCAATCAGGTGCCCCCGGGGCAGGCAAGGTAACACAGTTTGCTCAAATACCCCACAGCGTCCTTTGCACCTGGTTGGGAATTGAGCGGAATCGATGGGTGTGGCTCTTTTTTTTTTTCATCACTACAGACTTTTCTCTGGTACCTACAGTCTGTGTTAGTGTTCTTCCTTATCCCCCGGAGGTCCAGACTGTTGCAGCAGGGAGTCTTTTTCTCTGAGAGTCTGGGGGAGTTGGCTAATGACGTCAACGTGGCTGTCTGAGAGGAAGGAGGTACCCGGGGCAGCCATGACCAGGACATTTTGAGTGCGAGCCCCTCACGTAACTCTGAGTTGTCCACTCCCTCGTTTGAAAACGCAAAAAAGAAACGCTGCCATCGGTTTTAATCACAGTGAGTTTAAAGCATTCAAAACGTAAGCATTTCATTAGGAAATCCATGTAAGAGTGATTAGTTAATTCGAGGTTGTTTCGCGTCTGTCCCCAATCTGAGAGTCTGCTTTTCAAACGCTCAGGGGTGTGTGGCTTGTGGCTCCCTGTTGGTCCAGAAGACTAGATCCAGGAAACGTTTGTGTGTGTGGGGGGGGGATCTTCCCATGGATATCCTAAAAATGTCACCTGCTCACTTTCATCTTGATGACTTTAGGCGACCCTGAAGATTATCTGGCCAGGAGATGAGGTGGGTGGGGCAGATTTGGGGGACATTTGGGAAGTGTCACCATCTCCTCTCTCACCACCTGCTTCGATTATCATTGACTGATTGATTGATTGATGATTGATTGATTTTTGGTTTTTCGAGACAGGGTTTCTCTGTGTAGCTTTGGATCCTGTCCTGGAACTCGCTCTGTAGTCCAGGCTGGCCTCGAACTCACAGAGATCCGCCTGCCTCTAACTTCTAGGATTAAAGGCATGAACGTGTGCTTCAATCATCATTGTTAGTGTTTCAACATGCCAGGTAGGCTACTTGACTTGTTTAGAGCTACGAGGGTCAGCTGATAACCAGACATGGGGGCTCAAGCCTGTAACCTCAGCACTTGAGACACTGGGACATGAGGGGGTCTTTCAAATTTGAGGCTAGCCTGGGCTACAACAAGAGACCCTTTGTCAAAAATGGCAGGGGGTGGCTGGGGAGAGACTTGGTTTATAATGTACTTACCATACAAGCCTAAGGACCTGAGTTCAACTTCAGGATCCACTAAAAACCAAGGCATGGTGGCCTGTGCTTATCCTGGGGAGGCAGGGACAGACAGATCCTCAGATACAACTGAGAGACCTTGTCTCAGGGAAGAAAGTGGACTGTATGCTGAGGAAGGGCACCTGAGGGTGACTTCAAGCCTACACTCACATCAAGTCTCTTCTGGGGGGGAGGGGAGACCAAGGAGCTGACGAGGGTCAATGGGAAACTGCTCTTCACAATAGTTGGAGCTTAGCGATGGCCAGCCTCAGAAGGCTGGACATAAAAGGTATTCATTTCCCCGGGTGTTGGTGGCACACTCCTTTAATCCCAGCACTCGGGAGGCAGAGGCAGGTGGATCTCTGTGAGTTCGAGGCCAGCCTGGTCTACAGAGTGAGTTCCAGGACAGGATCCAAAGCTACACAGAGAAACCCTGTCTTCAAAAACCAAAACCAAAACACACACACACACACACACACACACACACAAACATCCATTTCTCAGACCCATTTCCCACAGCCCTGATGGCCTCTCCCAAGACCCCGAATGTTGCATGTAGCGTCTCCGTCGATCGCCCCTCATGTCCAAAAGGTCGTGTTGCAGCATCTGTCCACAGGGTGACCTGAAAGATAATTACCCTGTAAGGAAGCCAGGCCTTGCTTCAGACACTGCCATCAAAGGCGCGTGGGGCTCCCCGCCAAGCCCTGAAGAGCTGCTCCCCGATTTTTACTGGGGAAGCCTTGAGAAGCCAGCCACTGCCATAAACTATGAGTCAGGGAGGAAGCCAGCCAGCCTCTGGGTACTCCATTAGCGTGGCGCAGGAATGACGGCCCGGAGAGCCCTTCCTTGAGGACCAATACCACATCCCCCTCAGGGGATGGCTCTGCTGCCTGAAGCTCAGGCTTGCGGCCAGACCCAAGGGGTCCACACCATCCCTCCTTATGCCGCAAAGGCGGATGAATGAGACCTTACCTTTTCCTCCTGAGTCATACAGTTACGGCTAATAGGTCTTCTTCGAGATTTATTTTATTTTTAATGGACACATACTCTTAAATGAAGTTCTAGACATGTTTGGTTTTTGCCTCTTTCCCAGTTGCCACTACCGTTATCTGACCCTTGTTCGGTCCGCTCTCCCTTTGCAAGCGCTCTGGCTTTCTTCTGACTGTGGTCCGAAAAGTCAGCTCGCCTGTGACTTGGTATGGCGGTGTGGAAACTGAGTCAGTGCCGAGGTGTCCCCCCCCCCCCGCCCCCACAAGGGCCTCTCTTAGTCGGCAATAGTTAAGTGCTTGGTTCTAGTCACAATGCCTTTAGTTCCTCAGAAGTTTTGGGGTTTTTTATTTTTTGGTTTTGGTTTTTTTTCCCCTGTATGTTCATCACTGAGGAGTCCCTCTATTTGCTTGTAAACGTGACTTTTCTATGTGGGAGCAAAACCTCACTGTCTTTTATTGGACCCCATCTTTTAGGATACTGGAGAAAATAGCCCGGCTGAGGCTCTGAGCTCAGGGCACTTCTGGGAGGAAGACAAAACTGGTGTTATTTGGCCTGGTTAAATGCTGTCTTTTCTCACTAACCTCTGGGCATGCTCGCGAATACTTCTGAAGAATGCATTCGTCGCTCCCTATCTACACGGGAGAACTGGAAAACAGTCGTTCAAAAGCCACTTGGCAAGAAGGGAGACTGTTTTAGGCTCCAAAGCGATGGGGAAGTCTGAGGGACTCGGAAATCCTTCTGTCATTCTCAGAGGGTCTTGCCTTTGCCCTTATCTGTGTGGAACCCTAAGATCTGTGAGGGCTTAATAACTGCAGGGCAGTCAGTATTGCCAGGTCCATCAGAGGAGCGCAAAGGGCCAAGTCACTGGGTAGAAGGTGGAGGAAAACGGAACAGGGCATCCTGGCTTTGCTGAGCGGGTCATCTTGCTAACCTCCTGTCCTGGGGAAGTACCTGAACCTGGAGAGACGTGTTTCTGCAATAGAAATGCCGTGAATAATCTACACATTTCCAGGAAGTCTGTGAGGTGGAGCCTTAGCCAGGGGAGAACCCCGCTCTGTTGCTGTCTATGACTCAGCCTCCGGCTGCACCAAGCCTCTGCCTCACCTGTCACCCGGGAGGGTGGGGCTGTTTGTTTCGTAAAACTCCCTGAAACCTTTTATGGAGACGTTCTTCAAAAGGACAAAGCTGCATAATCATCCCCCAGCTATTAGATGCGGGGCGGCTACAAACAGGGTATGGGACAGGGTCATGATGTCATATAGCCGCTCACCATGGTAAACGAGACGAGGGGTGGCGGCTTCATCCTTTCTGCCATCTTGACTGGACGAGACCCCCTAGGAGACAAACTGCGGTGTGTGTCGGCGAGAATGTTTCCAGGGAGGCGTCACAGAATGTGGGTGGCATCACCCGGTGAGCTGGGTGCCACGCTGAACAACGCAGGGAGAAGAAGGAAGCATTCTTCACTCCTCGCTTCCTGAGGGGATGTGCCACGCACCCCACATTCTGGCCTGCCGCCACCACGGACTGGCTGCGTTCCCCAAGCTGTGAGCAGAAACAAGCCCTTCCTCCCTTGAGTTGCTTTTTCTTTTTCCCCCTTTGTTGGGGAAGTCCTTTGTCAATAAAGCACTGCTGGCCATTAGGAATCTAGATAGGTGGGACTAGGAGTCCAGGAGGATTCTGGGAAGGAGAACACAGAGAGTCGAGATGTAACGCCATGGGGTAGGAAGCCCGGAAACTTCTCCGGTAAGAGACATACTTAGATTAACAATTATGGGGTAATTATTTAAGTCAGAGCTAGCCAGTAAGAAACAAGCAAGGCTAACAGCTTCATAATTAATATAGCCTCCTGTGTGTTCATTTGGGACTGATGCAGCTCTGGAACCAGGCTGGCGGGAAGGCTTTCTCACAAGAAAAAAGCCTCCCTTTACACCCCTTGAGACAGGGTTTCTCTGTGGCTTTGGAGGCTGTCCTGGAACTCGCTCTGTAGACCAGGCTGGCCTCGAACTCACAGAGATTCACCTGCCTCTGCCTCCCAAGCGCTGGGATTAAAGGCGTGCGCCACCAACGCCCGACCCCTTGAGTCGCTTTTGTCAGGTAAGAAAGTAATAGTATATGTATTCAGAACGGACCAGCAAGTCTTTGGGGCAGATGCGTTTGAGGAGACAGGCTTAACCTTCCAAAGGACCAACAAAGTGTACATCGTGTGTGCTCGCCCCTGGGGAACGTTAGTTCCTTAGACGAAGAGTAAGTGAGATCTGGATGGAGGAAGCGGCTCACCCAAAGGTTGACAACTACATACAAACATCACTGTCGCTGCCACTTCCAACCGCGCATGCCAGGCTCACACTGGAAATAAAGGAGGAACTAAGGCTGGAATCTGTATAAGGGTCTCGCCAGGAGGCTCCGTGGAGGAAGCATCGTCATGCGAGCACGGGGGATGGGATTTTGGGTCGTCTTAATCTATGTTTAAAAGGAGCAGAGCACAGTATGTGCGGGCTGGGTGCTACGGAGACGGGGGATCCGGGAGCGCCAGCTGGCTAGCTAGGCTGGCCAGAACCAGTGAGTTCCCAGGTTCAGCAGGAGCCTGCCTCAGTAAATAAAGCGTGGAATGATCAAAGAAGACGGAATCAACTTTGAGCCTCCACAGGGCAAAGTCTCTCACTTCGTGGTGACCAGGAAGCACAGGGGGGAGGACATCAGCCTGAGGGCCCTGGTGGTTTGAATAAGATGCCCCCCCATGCTGTGTCTGAATGCTTAAGGGGCGGACACCATTTGAAAGGATCAGGAGGTGTGGCCAGGCTGGAGGAAGTGAGTCACGGGGGGGGGGGGGGGGAGGCTTTGAGGTTTTAGAAACCCACACCACACCCAGAATCTTTTCCTGCTGCATGTAGATCCAGACTTGGAACCCTCAGCTCCTCCTCCAGCACCATGCCTGTCTGCCGGCCACCCTGCTCCTGCCATGATGACAATGGACTAAACCTCTGTACAAGACGCCCGCAATTCAACGCAATTCAACGTTCTCCTTCCTAGGAGTTGTCACCGTCAGGGTGTCTCTTCACAGCCATAGAACACTGACGGAGACAAAGGCCCACTCCCCACTGATCTAAAACTTCCCCTTGGCCCCCTCTTCAAAGGTGTCACCTTCCCTGACACCAGGCTGAAGACCAAGCTTTAACACGAAGGCCTTGGGGGGCATCCCAGACCCAAACTCTAGCATTCTTCTGTTCCCGATATGTTGTTCTCTCTCCGCGCACCACTGAGAGGGTACATTTGAAACGCCTCCCACACCGTGACATTTGTGACACATTTTCCTGGGCAGGGAGATACGAGCAAATGTGTGTCCACCTGAGACAGGGCAACGGTAAGGGTCCTAAGACACTGTTCACCTACATCTAAGTAGTAAATGAGTGTGGGTATTCTGGTTACCTACAGGGGTGTGTAGTGAGGGGTTGCCTACAGGGGTGTGTAGTGAGGGGTTGCCTACAGGGGTGTGTAGTGAGGGGTTGCCTACAGGGGTGTGAGTGAGGGGTTGCCTACAGGGGTGTGAGTGAGGGGTTGCCTACAGGGGTGTGTAGTGAGGGGTTACCTACAGGGGTGTGTAGTGAGGGGTTGCCTACAGGGGTGTGAGTGAGGGGTTGCCTACAGGGGTGTGTAGTGAGGGGTTGCCTACAGGGGTGTGTAGTGAGGGGTTACCTACAGGGGTGTGTAGTGAGGGGTTACCTACAGGGATGTGTAGTGAGGGGTTACCTACAGGGGTGTGTAGTGAGGGGTTGCCTACAGGGGTGTGAGTGAGGGTTACCTACAGGGGTGTGAGTGAGGGGTTGCCTACAGGGGTGTGAGTGAGGGGTTGCCTACAGGGGTGTGAGTGAGGGTTACCTACAGGGGTGTGAGTGAGGGGTTGCCTACAGGGGTGTGAGTGAGGGTTACCTACAGGGGTACGATGGGGGAAGTCCTTCTGCGTATATGCTTGTCTGATTGGTATAAATAAAGCACTGTTATCCAATAGGGAAGCAAGATAGGTGGGACTAGGAATCGAGGAGGATTCTGGGAAATAGAGGCACAGTCAGTCACCATGTAGGACGTCAGAGAAGTAAGAGGTCCGGACCCTTTCTCCGGGAAGAGAAGACCATGTGGGAATACTCAGATTAGCAGTTATGGGTTAATAATTAAGTCAGAGCTAGCCGATAAGAAACCAAGCAAATGGCCAACGGCTTTATAACTAATATAGCCTCCTGTGTGTTCATTTGGGACTGATGCAGCTCTGGGTACCAGGCTGGTGGGAAGACTACACATTACAGGGGTGTACTCAAAGGCGGCAGAATTACCTTCTCAGAATGACTGAAGACTCATGAAAGTTGTGCCCCTGCCTGGTTTTCAGTCATCTGCGCCAACTTCAGAGACTGGTCTCCCCAGAAACAGTTACTGTGTATTATCCTGGTCTCCCCAGAAATTGTTACTGTGTATTATCCTGGTCTTGTGAATCTCATACATTGTACTGGCTTCCTGGGTCA